TTTTTTTACCATTTTTTAATTATTATTTTTAATTTGCACCAACTCCATTTTCCATCTGTCCAATCACATTTTTTACATTGTTTTCACTGTTCTACTTGGGTAAATCCACCACTGTCTTTTCTCCCCTTAGTTACATCTACACATGTACACCTGTTGTCGGCTTCATTCTCCCAAAAAGCTTTCCACCACCGCTTATTGTTGTCGTCGAATACCGATTACCATCAAACACGTTGGAGAAAAGCAGATGACGTCGAATCTTCCTTCTCTGATCATTACCAGCGACTTTACCACTGCTACTGGTGGTCAATGACGGCATGTTGATCCGTCAATGTATCCGACTCTCCATCATTCTTTCTCACCGTTACCGTCGACTTTACCTCATGTGTTTTCGATCTGTTGAGTTCAGCTTCTATAAATACATCATGTTTTCTCTATTAGCTCCTACTAACGATTTGAACTAAGGTACAGTTACAGTTTTATTTTCTCCTCTATCCATAAGGTCTTATTCTTCCATTTGCAATGAAAACTAAGGCACAATTCCCTTTGGGTATAAGTGTATAACTACGACCTGTCCGACCCCTAATTTTTTACTTTACTTATCTTACCCTTACTTTCTTTTGTGTTTTTGATTTTAAAGTCAGAGCATGTGACATCCCCATCTTCACGATCAGAAAATATCGATTTTGTTTATGCTTGTTTAAAAATTAGAGTAATATTTTTCATAAAAGTGTTGCAGAATTTGTTTCTAAAATAAAATATGATAAACATTTATCAAAACATTTCCGTAGAAATGTATTTCATTAAAAAGACTTGGGATGTCATGTTCGATACAGATCAAAAACATAAACAGTACAATATAAGTCTTACTACATTATTTCATATCTACAGGCCTATATCTGTAATTCCTCATCCAAAACATCTCATCTATGCTCGAGCGTCACTACCTGTAATACATGAAACTGAGTGGGTCAGGCTTGGGAGTCTGATGAGCACATAGAGTTTTCAACCCACAATAAATAAGTTTATTAATTTTATCAACCAACAATAACCCGATTACCCGTTCCCGTTATCCTCACATTACGTCCCTAAAAGACCTATCATAAGGGACCTAGACTAAGGTCAACATCGGGATGGACACTAATGTTAAGGGGATTCCTTAGCAATAAATGTCCTTAAGGTAACCATGTGGGGGATGGAGTACACCGGTGAACACATCATTCACAAACACCTACAGGTTGCGAGCCTGCTAGCGTTCCACTGGACTGTCTAGAAGAGTATGTGGTCGTCATCCATACTCCGCTAGATGACAAAATCAACAACAAAAACAACAACATTGAGGTCACTCATCATTTTATCACACATCGTCTTAATACATCTACCTATATGTGGGGGTGGAGTACACCGGTGAACACATCGTTCACAAACACCTACAGGTTCCGAGCCTGCTAGCGTTCCACTGGACTGTCTAGAAGAGTTTGTGGTCGTCATCCATACTCCGCTAGATGACAGAATCAACAACAACAACATCGAGGCTTCTCATCATTTTATCACACATCGTCTTAATACATCTACCCATGTTTTACCCCCAACATTTTTGTAGATATAAAATACTTATACATTTTAAATCATTTAAAACATGTATAAAATCATTCATACAGCATAGACAACAAGTATTCAGATAATATGCACACATAGCATTTAATTTATATATAATACTTCATATCTATGTGTAAGATGAAAATAACAATGTACTTACCTGTCAAGGTGGTGATTCCAAACTTAGACAACGCTTCGTTACTCTTGAAACAATTTTCTTCGTCAAAACATAGTATCATTACCACTAGGGTTAGTCTATCATTCACCGAGACTAATTAATAGTTTAACTATTATTACTATTATATAAGCGTTAAAAAATACTTATAGAACCCATAATAATAGCTCAAGTACTTATTATAAGTTCCTAATAACGTTACTATAATTAATTAGAAGCTTTATTAAAAATAGTATAGGCATAGCTCACTTACAGCGAGTTTTATAGAAAACCGGACTTCGCTCGGAGCAGTGTTTCTAAACCGAAAAACCCTTTTTCTCGGGACTCCGAGAGCCTTGAGGCTTCCTTCGGGTGCTAGGGGTTCACCTAGGCTTGGGGGGGGGGGGGGGGTAGGAATGGTAGAGAGAGAAAGTAGTGAGAGAGAGAAGAGAGAATGGTGTGAAAAATCCGAGAAAGCTCGCATCTATTTTTAGGTCGGAGGTCCTCGGAACGCTAGGCGTTTGGAAGAGCTACGTCGGGCGTAGCTTCGGATAAGGTCGACACGCGTTGCTTCGCTGTTGGGCCATCGTGGCATGCTCCGGAACCGCACAACCAAAGACCGTTGGGCGTAACCTTCTCCGACGCGGGGCGTCCGATACGAGCATTGGGCGTCCGAGCTGCGACGTGTCAATATCCGAAGGTCAGTCCGTGATCAGCAAGCAACGACCGAGATGAGGCCACGTCATCACCCCCATGCAGATTCGCAATTTCACACTCCGACTTCAAAAATTCATAACTTTCGCATACGAGCTCCGTTTTCGACGTTCTTTACATCCACGTGTAGGCGGGAACGTACTCTACAACTTTCATTTAGCTCCGTCAGCTAACTTTGACTTTATTTTAAATTTTAAATTTTTAACAGGCCGGAACAAGATTGGTCCGTTAAAAATTCATAACTTCTTCATCCGACGTTCGTTTTTGTCTATCTTTTTATCGTTACGCTACTATTAACGAAATCTTCGATTCTTGTTTAGGTTGTGTCGGCTAAATATTGTTCGTTCTAATATTTGAAATCCAGGTTTGTGAGTGCATTTTATACCCTGTTGGACGGCACTCTGTAGTGTTGTATTTTTGTGATTGTTTTCGCATCAATAATTTTTTTTTTTTAATTTTCTTGTAGATTTGGAATAAATTGTGGTGAATATTAAAGAGGAGAAAAATGATAAATTGAAGAAAATACAGAAATATTGACACGAAGACATGAAAACGCTTTGAAATTTGTAGCATTTTTTATTTTTTATTTTGTATTGAATAAAATATTTATTGTGATTTACTTACGAATATTGTAGTACAAGAAATGTACATATGTGCATTTGAAAAAATATGCACATATGCACCTAAATTTGCTATTAAAAAAATGCAATTTAAAAAAAAAAAAAATTGCAGCTTTTTTTATATACAATTTTTTCTGAAAAAAAATGTACCTTTCTTTAAAAAAAATTGTAGTTTTTTTTTTATAAAAAATATAGTTTTTTAAAAAAAGTTGTAGTTTTTTTTGAAAAGAATGTTGTTTTGTTTAAAAAAAATTGCAGTTTTTTTTGAAAAAGAATGTAGTTTTTTTTGAAAAAAAAATGTAGTTTTTTTTAAATTGCAGTTTTTCTTTAAAAAAAATATATATTTTTTTTCAAAAAGTCATGTTTTCTATAAAAAAATTAAAAAATATGCATTAAAAAAAACGAAAAATATTATTTAAAAAAATATGAAAACTTGATTTATGATGTAAATTTTTAGACATTTATATTAATATGTTAAATAACACAAAAAAAATTAAACATTATATGAGATTGTAAGATGACGATCATGTTCTTAATAAATTACTTTTGATCCAACGCTTCACGTTTAGTTCTCGGGAAATTATGAGTTCTCAACCGATCTCAACCCTATATATATATAGTAATTTACTTATTTGTTTTTTTATCTTTCTTTGTTTTCTCCGTTTAGGTTTAATTTTCATATTACAAGAAGACATCGAGGATCTGACATATTGTCATTGTGAAAAAAATTTGAAAAATATCATAATTTAGTAATTTAACATATTGTTTTGTCGTTATCCTTTTTACGAAAGGCTATACAAATGATTTATTTTGTTTTATTCAATTCAATCTGGTTTATACTTGTCCTTAATGATTAATTTAGGGGCTACACAGCTCCATTGAGGATGTCACCTTGGAAGACAGCTTATCCTAAGTATCCAACAACAATTCCCTAAATTCAGGCTTGAGGACAAGCATGTTCCTTCAGCGGTCGGTATTGATAAGGAAATTGGTCGAAATCCCGATGAGTCCCCAAACAAACGAGCCCAACGTCCCTAAAGTTTGGAAAATGTACAAGAGGAGTAAGCACCTAGAATGACAGGTGTAAGGCTAAGATTAATTGGGTCATTATGCATGAAAAGGGATAGGATAGGGAATATCATTTAGGGGCTGTTTGGCAGGATCTGAATTTTTAAGATCTGAATTTTTAAGAGGTCTGAATTTCTAAAATTGTCTGAATTTTTAAGATCTGGATTTTTAACATGTTGTTTGGTTGGAACCTGTAAATTGTTGTGTTGAATTATAAAAATGACCAGTCTACCCTTCCATCGTATTTTTCGTTGAATTCAATGTTTCTATTTGTAAAATAACCAAACCAAACTCCTTAAATAATTATAAAAATATATATATATAAACACCATATAAAATATTATGATCTAATAGGAAGAGGTGAAAGTATGATACTATAATAAAGAAATATATAAAAGTACATTGCTATTTCATGTCTTCACCTTTACAAAAACAAGGTTACAATAGGCTATGAAAACAAACTGAAATGTATGTTTACATGGATCACATTAAAAAAAGCATTTTTTTTGTAAAATTCCAAAAAAGAAGACCAAAATTGATGGGTTTTATACAAACAATTCTATATGTGCATGCAACCCTATATTTGGATTTATGTTTTCTCTATTAGATACACAACTTTATGAACACAAGAAGAACCCTAGCATGCACCTAGGTATTTCGAAATCTATGTAGTAGAAGGGATTACATACCTCTTGTTGTTATATTGTAATAACAACACAAATCTTTAATCTCTTTGTCTTGGAAAACAAGTACCACAAGTGTAGTACGTCTAATGGCTCACAAACACCACAAGCAAATGGAGAGGCAAGAGAGAGAGAGAGAGAGAGAGAGAGGAAGAGGCAAAAATCGGCTCTAGGTCTTCTAGGGATCAAGTGGCCGATTTCCCTTAGCCAATGGGTCTTTATATAGGGTAGAGATTAAGGTTTCAGTCCTTATCATTATCTGATTACTTACCCACCAAGCAGCCCATAAGATAATCCTTGAATCCTTATTATGGACGAATTCTAAGGCCTTATCACCTTGAATTCGTCCACCCCTTCCTTGGGGCAACCAATGCCCTAATTTGCGACTATCAAATAATTACAATTCAGCCACTCTAGTTTAATTAATTACATTTGATCATAGAATTAAATCTAAATTAATTATTAACCAATATTAATTAAACAAATATGATTTCTCCTTTAATATATTATTCCTATAATATATTAATAAATCATAATAACCTTTTTCTCTATTATTTCTCCAGTCAAGTTGCTTTGGTGAAGACAACTCAAAAGGACCATGCACAACCGGGTCAAGTACTTACCAAATATAGTTACGGGCTTAGACACTAATCCAACAAAAATACCCCTTAAAAATTTTCTTGCCCAACCTTTAAACCATCAACCAACTCCTTTCTTTCGGCCATCCAAAGTCTCGATGTTTCATGCAATCTAGAATAACCTAGCCCCACTTGATAATAACAAGGAAAAGATCATTATGCCTTTATTCATATTTTTGCAGCATGTCATTCAATATTTTTTTATCTTCAATTTAGAAACATAATACCCATCAAACTGCAACCAAGAGTATGATTGTAGAATATACAATCTAAACATTAATACCCATCAAACACAACTTTGTGATTTGATTAAAAAACCATTCTCTAAAAGATATATCTGACTGTGTATTTCCAATGAGATGCAAATAAAAAACCTCACAAGATTTTCCAATCTGAAATGTATGTTTATATGGATCACAACTTTGTGATTTTATTAAAAAAACTCATAGGACTTTTCACAAATAGTTGGTGTGCTTAAAAGCTTTAATGAGATGCAAATAAAAAGCCATTACTTTTCTTAGGAAATTGACTGTGTATTTCCAAAATTGATTGAATGGAACATTGGATTATATACTCTATAATAAGAGATGCAAATAAAAACGAGGGGAAATGAAAAATCATACAGAGATGGCAGAGGAAAGTGTGTCGAGTTTGGTTGCTTATCATATCCAAGTAAGGAAGATAAAATGAGAGCTGGAGAAATCAAATCATCCGACAGTAATCAAGCAGTCGAAGATGAGATCGGTGTTGCTAGAATTTTCGAAATCGCAGAAGCATTGCCGCTCGCCTTTGGGGATTTCCGACAAGCCTCGATCGATGGTGATGACAGCACGGGAAGAGGCAGCGGTCAGCTGGTGGCGGAGGGGATATCAGAGGGTTGTCATTACGCAATCGGAGATGCAGTAAGAATGAGGCGTCGACATTTGTGAAAGAAAGAGAAGAAGGAAAAGATGAAGTATCAGTGCAAAAGAGGAGCGCTTGTTCTTTTCTTTAATTCAGACATATCCCCAAATCTGAAAAATTAAGAGGTGACTAACAAATTAAGAGGTATAAGTTCAGAAGCTATCAAACGGTCTAGATCTTAAAAATTAAGAGACTACCTCTTAATTGGAAAATTAAGAGACAAACAAACAAGGCTTTAGTTGAATTTGGAGATCAAGGGGATCATTCTGATTTTTCTATTGTTATGAAGTCGGTCGGCTATTTGAGCTTGGGCAGAGATACTTGCACTCTATGTCTGATTTTCTTTTCGTCTTTTGAAGTTTTCAGAATCAATACAAATATTTAGTCGTTTAATTTTATTTCAGTGATTTTCTTTTCGTCTTTTGATATTTAACAACACCTGATCAAACAAAACCATTTTCCTTTTATGATATATATATATATATATATATATATATATATATATATATATATATATATATATATATATATATATATGTTAGTGTTTCTTCAAACACCATAAAACTCAGCGGTACGTGGTTGAGAGTCCAAACACCAACATTGATAATTTGACGTTGAAATCCGAAAGAGTTCATCCGGTGACATGTTGTGAAGATCATGATCCTTTGATTTTCGAGCATCAAAATTAAGGTGGCTTTGTTTTGCAGTCTCTTCGTCTTGATGTTCTTGAGAGCGCATACGCTTGTACAGCCTCATTACAGACACACAATCCTGAAAAGTGTCGTGACTCCCTAACCTGATATCGTACCTGAAAACACAAATTTGTGTTGTGTTAGAAAAGAATCACATAGGTTCAAACTTCAAAGTGACGAGGATAGTAGTAACTTTGGTTAATTTTACAAAATCATTAAAAAAAAAAAAAAAGCAGTACAGTACAGACAATGTATGGTACTTCCACACAGAAAGAAAGAATGAAAAATGAGCTTCAATAGCATATATCTTATTCTTTTATCTCCAACAACTCAAATAGGTAAAGTTTTGTTGATGGAATATTTTGCAATCTAGAAACCACTCACATTGAATATTATAATGACGGCTGAGTTTGGGCGAATTTATTTCCTTCCCATTTTAGAAAACTAAATCACAACTATTTGTTGGTCACTTGCTCAGATTTCATTATTTGCTACCAACTTTCCTATTTTTATAGTTTTTTTTTAATGGCATTTTTTATGGTTTTCTAATTTGATGGAACATTTTGTAATCTAGAAACCATTTTCTATAAAAGAGCTCATGATCAATATAAATTTTCCCATATTTGGGTGACATGAGTAGAAGTGGATCAGATAAAACAAAATTAAGTATGCTAAAACTCATGATTCGTGCTAAGATAATTCATAAAAGGCAAAAAAAAAAAAAAAAAAAAAAAGCAACTTACCCTAGATATGTCTTGGTGAGGTACTTGAGAGAGTGGCTCATGAAATTAGTTTTAAGTAATGGACGATATGTTGCTGTATCCCTACACACAGAAAAACAGCATTTGAACAAAAACATGCTCAATGTATAACCATATAGTTTACCAAAACCAATATTCAATACAACAGATATTTATAGATGCGATACAAGTTTTTTTTTTTTTTTTTTTTTTTTTTTGGGAGTGGGAGGGGGTATTATTTTATACTCCTACTAAATTAATAAAAAAAAACCTATTAACTACAAAAGTTGAGGGCATCTGCTACTAGCCACTAAGCAAAAATAAATAAATAAAATCAGTTTTGTAGTGTTGGCAAATCTGATTCAGATTTTTTGACCATCAAAAGCCGAAATAATTAGATTTTATAAAAAGCAAGGAATTGGCGAGTTGCTACTTCCATTAATTCGCTTTCATTTCTTCTAATTACAACATTTTGTACTTTGGACAAATCTACCCAATTATAGGAATGCCATTCATATTCAAAGCAATCTTCATTGCTATGATTAGGTAGATTTTTCAAAAAAAAAAAAAAAAAAAACCAAAACTGAAGTGCAATGCTATAACTGAATACATGTTTCATATTAGAAAAACTTGATAAGAGAAAAAAATGGAAAATAGAAAACCTTAACAATTTCTCGGGATAGTTCATTAACAAGCAATCCAAGGCATGGTCCAGGTTATGGCCCACAAGAAGTTTAGCTTTTCCACCATCCAAGCGCGCTTTTCCTATTGATTCTCCATTGTACAGAATTTGAGAAATCTTTTCTCTCACTTCCTTAACTGCCATACCATCTCTTTTTAACTGCTCTTCTGTTATGCCCGTTACTTCATATCTATATCACAATTCATGTAAACATCAACTTTATGAACCAGTTTCACTAAAACCGAAACCGATTTGTAAAGAATTAACAAGTTAAATATAATTACAAGGATAACTATTAAAATGAAATAATGAAAACTTAGAAAGCTGTAAAGTGTAAACATGTGAGTATGCATTGGCCAACTTTTAAACCACTTGACATGTTCCATTTTTAGCGAAATATTTTAGTTTAACCGTTATTTGACCTGTTATCAAGAAAATATAACCCAAATTGACCCATTTTCACATAAACGGGTTTAAAAATTCTAAAAGAAAAATGAACAAGATGCAGCACAGAAGTACCTATAATCAGTTACAGATAGTTGGGGTTCCACATACGTGTGGAATATCATATTCTCTTCTTCATCAACAAGGCAAACTCGAGCTAATAGATCAACTGATCCATCGATACCACACCCAACCATTTGGCAGTTGATAGCAACTGCTTCAGGATATTTACTCATGTAGTAGTTTTCATCTTCTAATGCTTCATATTCTGTGTATGAAATATTCATTGTTCCCTGCAACACATCAATAAAATAAATGTACATCAAGTGTATCAGATTGAAACTGAGACTCATGAGTCATGCATGCGTTCACCAAAAAAGATGGGACATGGACTTGCTCTCAATCTCTCGCGTGTGCAAAAGACGTTAATGCCCTCATCATCGAAAAGATTATTCCACATCAACTTACGAGGGGGGGAGGGGCAGTTTGGAGGCATAACTCTTTGTGCTCATCAACAGAAACAGGGTTTTCAAAGACTTTCAGACAAAGGTGGCAACCATTTTGTGCAAATATACTTGAGCAGTGAGCTTTGGCTAATGGACCTACATAATCCATACAAAAATGTAAATAAGAATGAAAAATTTAATGGATAGATTATGTTAAAGGAGTGTTTAGATGCGATGATAAAGTGATTATTGCCATTTGACAGTTTCATAGTGTTTTGCAACCGATTATAATTTTAATTATGTAGGACATAACAGAAGCACATTAAAAAAAAAACTGATTAAAAAGGGGGAGTTTGGTTCGAAAAATGTTTTGGGGGAAACAGGAATTTGTCAAAGGAAATGGAATATGAAGGAATTGAATTATGTCACGAGTTTGGTTGGCACAAAATGGAATAAAATTCACGAGTGAGAAACATTTGCTATTGAACTTAAGGTTAAAAGGGTATTTGAGTATTTTGAAAAAGAAGTAAATGCGAGGAATTGAATTCCATGGAATAAAATCAATTGATCAAAGGATTTTGTAAATTCAAATGGAATTCAGTTTCATACTCATTGCAAAAACCAGGATTGCAATGGAGTTGAATTCCAAATTCGGTGAACCAAAGGCCACTATCACTCACTTTAATCAAATGACTGTGATTTCAATTCGGATTCTGATTCTTGAATCACAATGATCAATTTAAAACCGCACATCCAAACGCCCTCAAAGTATCACACCTGATATATGCTCCCTTAAAGATTCGAATGATTTGCAGTGTTTATGACAAACACCGCATTTAGGTTGATGCACTGAGTGATAGGATTTCTTCATGTGTTCAACAAGGTTCTCTTTTTTCTTAAACTGCTGAAAACATGCTGCACATTTGTGTCTGGAGAAAACAGGTGTTAGTATAGCCATCTTATAAACTAACATGGTGTGAACTGCTTTAACACTTGATAAAAGTTCAAGTATGCAAAGGCAAAGCTTTAGACATTTTGATATGTCAACCAATTAAAGTAAATGATATCAGATACAAAAAGTAATAAATTCTAGCATACGTACATGATACTTAGTTGGATACAGTGATACTTAGTTTTACCATTTTATAAACTAAAGGTAAAACAGAGAGTAATCAGGCATAGAATATGAAAATCAACAACATATGAGTATTTTTTATTTATTTAATGCAGTAAGACAGCTTAACTGGAAGGAGGTCCTAACTTTTAAACTTTCCCAGGCTTAAGACATATTCCTGCTTTAGGCAGGTATATTCAATATTTTATGCAATATTCGAACTTTGGTAGCTATAAAAATAATACTTTTTGTTTTTGATAAAGAACCATTGGATGAGCTATAGTATGCCTATACATGTATTCAGGAATCAGGAATATACTATTGTCCATGTTTCCGTACTGCGTCTCACATACATACTGGGAAAGAGGGAAAATGTAAAGAATGAAGAAAGTTCAGCAAAAATAATGATGAGGGCAGAGGGCTGGGTTGGGTCGAAACTACTGTGTTATCTTTCTGTTTCTCTACCTTTTTTTTTCGCCGGGAACCAAACAAATGCAGTGTGAAAGCAACGTAAATTGATAAAGCATATAAGCAACGATGGAGATTGAAGGAATACAGAGTAAGAGATAAAAATCAGAGAACCTTGTGCTTGTAGAGACCATCGGGGTTTTTAGATGGTTTGGCTCGAACTCCTCCATTGCACAACGGCTCAAAATGGAGGGAACAGAAGAAATTAAGCGCCGGAATCGCAGTAAACAATGCAGAGCGGAGTTTTTATTTGTGGAATTAGGGTTTGGGTTTGATCAAGAGAGGGCTCTGGTTGGTAACGGTGGACAAAACACAATCGCCATGAAAGTGAAAGGTGTGTTAGTCCGGGGAGGTGTGATTATAATTTTCTGTAGAAGAGCCTAACGCGATATTCTCGAGTTTTTTTAATGAAGGGTTTGGAACGGAAAGAGCGAGAAGAATGAAAACCAAGCTAATTATTTTATGGTTTTTCTTATAATTTGGTAATTTTTTTATTTTTTTATATATTTAACCGTGTTGACAATGGCATTCTTAACACAACTAAGAAGTTAAATAGTAAATATGTATAAAAAAAATTGTTTAAATATAAACGAAATCAAAAATTATTTATTTATTTTCTTTATTTTTAATAGTGATTTTATTTTTTTATTTGTTAGTATTATTTTTTTCAAATGTTATTTCTATAATATCCATAATGGTCTAAATATTAATTAAATATTGATTATTTCTAAATTTTACTTTTTAATTTAATAAATATGTTTTCATTTTGTGAAATATATATATATATATATATATATATATATATATATATATATATATATATATATATATATATATATATTTGTTTTTAAGCATATATAATATTTTTAAAGTGAATAATATCTAACAATAAAATTAAATAAATTAAATATGTAACAATAAATATGTTGGATCTTTTATATATATATATATATATATATATATATATATATATATATATATATATATATATATATATATATATATTACATTGTAAATAAAAAAACAAAAAAAAAATTATATAATATTAATGTTTTAAAATTATTACAAAATTTTAATATTCTTTAATTAAAAGTTTATAAACTTTATTTTTTAATACAACATTTTAAACTAATATCTAACAGAAGTATTTTAAAATATTATAAAAAAAATATTAAATTGTCATATAAAATTTATAAAACACTTTAAAAATGAAGGTAAATTTTTTTTATAAATAACTATATGAAGGTTATAAAAAAATTACATGAAAATTAAAAATAAAAATAAAAATAAAGGTTAAAAACTTGTAAGAAAAATTTAAAACATTTATCATATTTGGTTTAAAAACACTTGTATTAAAACTTTATGAAAATATAAAAAAAATTATAAAAAAAAAAAAAAAAAGTTTAAAAGATTATATTAGAAAAACTTATAGGAAAAAATATTATTAAAATACTATAAGAAATTATAAAAAGTCTTAAAAATTTTGTAAAAGAAAATATTCACGTTTTGACATCTTTCTTTTTTTTGTATACATTTGAGTATTTAACTTATTAAACGTGTTCAAATTTCCATTGTCAGCTACTATAGCCGATGACAATGCTAATATATGAACAAATTTAACAAATTTAAAAAAAGAAAAAAGTGTCACTGTGTGTACCCATAAATGATTTAAGTAAACAAAAATTGGAAATGAAAAGTGAGATAAGACATCATCACATAAAAGGAAATGATTTAAGAAGTAAACAAAAAGTGGAAATAAAAAGTGAGAAGGAAGCCGTAAAGAGCTTGCAACATGCAATCCATTACAACACTAAATTTACACTTTCAGCTTATAAGAAGAAAGAATTGCATTCATACTTTCCTAAACCCCTACATGACATGACATGACCTGACCTGACCTCTGTGCCTATACTTGATCTTTTTCAACAAGGGAAGGGAAGGGAAGGGAAGGGAAGGGAAGGGGTTTGGAATTACAATCTCTGTTTTACCCTTCTACCATGAACATCAACTCCATCAGGTATAACATCATTAATGCGCTTGCTTATGGCAGGAGAATGCTCGCTGATCCTTGCTACATATTCCAAGAGTTGGGTCAGGACTTCCGGGCAGCTTTCTTTAAGGTAATCAAACCCATCCGTCTGCATCACGGCTGATAAACAAGCAACAGGATTCATTTACTTAATTAATGGGTGGGTTATGCAGTTAATCTGGTAGGTTAAGCTATGTTACCTCTGAGATTTTCAGGCGAAGCAATGAATTTTAGACACACGGCTTTCAACTGGTGGCAGTGGTGCTGCTCAGCCAGTGCTAATGTGGTTGCAACCGTGTTTATGGCAACATCCTGACAAAGATTAGTCTCACAGAGCACCCGCAGCCTATCTAAACCATAGCGATCCGCGGCTGCAAGAAGATGCTGAGACATCAATGTGGTGGCCCATTTCGTGCTCATACCCGTTACTTCTTCCATGTCAGGCAAACTATCCCAATACATAAAATGAAGCAATGCCTGCAAAATACACATTTTTGGTTATAGCTTGTTCATAACAGATGCTAGCTTTATTTTTTTTAAATACCTTGAAAACAGGGGGCTCTATGTCCTCAACTATAATACATCGGGTATTTTGATCTTTCATTGGACCAAAAAGTTGAGCCCTGAAAACAGGTGAGCGGGCTGCAAGCACCAATTTATGAGCGGAAAAGGTTTCGTCTTTTACTTGAAAAGAGACATCGGTGCCTTTTCCACATTCCAGGAGTTGCCCAAATTGTTGCCCGATATCGGAAGGTGGTACATGGATGGAGTACGTCTTGGGGCCTTCTGTACGTGACTTGACAACTCCAACACAACAATGAACCTGAAGGCAATCATCTTTCAAGTAATCTGATGTCTCCAATGCAGATCTTTTGAAAAAACGCTTATAACCCCTGTAGTATCAGCAAACAAAAATTTCTCAACAACAAAGCTTGCTTCCTAGCATAAAAACCATAAACATGAAAAACAGAAAGGCCAAAATCAAGTATGCATGAAAACTCCGAGTGTGTATCATTGTATTTGTATTATGATTTCAAATTAAGTATCAACACTTTCCTTCACTAGAACTGACAAAGATCTGGCACACCGTAAACACTAAATACTTAAATAGTATGCCAACCATATTAAATGTTAAGACGACTTCCATTACAATCATTGAATCCAAATGTCAGTAGTGTAGCCAGAAAAACTACAGGGGGATAAATCTTTTTCACTTAATGCAGAAAGCACAGACTTGATAGAAAAGTTGGGAAAAAGGGGGCTTTTCACATTAAGTCCTTACTTTGTCACAACTTTACCCTCATTTGATTCCCTCCACTTTCTCAACTGTTACTTCCCTCTCTCGTATATTTTTTAATAATCATTTATCAAGGATAATTTGCCTAAACAACAGATTAATCACACCACTTCTTAATTTCTTAGATTAGGATTCATGATGTACCAATAAATAAGCATACATTATTAGCAAGCTGGAAGTTCCTGTCACAAAAAGGTAGTAGGACCGCATACCTTTTAAGCAAAATAACATAAAAGAACCTGAGAGCATAGTGCACCAAGAATCTTTCATATAGATAATGAGATCATTTGTACGTTTCTAATATGCAAATATAAGTAAGAATGTTTCCACGCTCAACCATTACTAGAATTACCATTTCAACCCTGTTGCTAGTTGCTACAAAGTTGTATGCATTTACTTGAGACTGGATGCATAGAAACAGATATATATATATATATATATATATATATATATATATATATATATATATATAATATATATATATATATATTATGTGCTTCCTCTGATGAAATGTATGACAATCAAAGCTTCGCTTTCAATGAGCAAAAGGATACACCGTAGGATGTTTAAATTAAATGCGAGTCCACCGAGGTTATTATGACTTTGGTGTGAAATGACTTAAATATCCTTGATTTTAATCATTTCATTATCTTATTCCCGATGCTTTTTTGTTTTGTGATAATCAGTCAGGCAACACACATCAACATTTCCTAAAAATTTAATTCTTTCTTAGGAAGAATTTCGTATATATCCTTACTAAATGTTAAAATATCATATTTGCCCAACCAAATATCTAAATATCATATTTAACCTTCTTAAACTTTAAAATGTCATATTTGCCCAAAACCATTTATTAAATATTTTAAAATTATTGAAATTGAAAATAATAATTAAATGTACCGTATTACCCTTAACTTCTAAATATGATATTTCATAAGATTAAGGAGGACAAATATGATATTTAGATATTAGGCTGGATAAATATGATATTTTGACGTTTAATAAGGGTATATATGAAATTCTCCCTATTTCTTAAGTTGTATTTCATCTAGGAATTAAAATAAAGCACATTTGACCAACCCTGCATCACATAGGCATTAAAGAGCTCAAAAAGGGGACAATTTTTAACAAAGAGATCTAACATTATCAAAATTACATTCTCTGCATTATTAAACCAAACAAACAGCAACTGGCTACTCACTAAAAGATGTAGCATTTCAGAAATCTTACCCATGGGAAAAGAACTTCATAATAGACTACTAGATCATAAAACCATGTTACATTCAGCACCACAATGAGTGTTTGGCAAAATACGATGATGATTGTAAATTTCTAATCATTTGAAGTCAAAATGATCAGACTTAGATAACCATAAAATTTGTAACGAACCAACTATTGAGATGAATGTAAACTTGTCTAACTATACCTAATTTTAAGCACTGAATCTGTAAATGAAGCCACATCCAGACACGCCCCAACATATATGAATTAAGCAAATAGATTTTCAAGATTATACCAAATCATTTGAGCAAAAATATACATTAATAATTGTGATCGTATAACAAAAACAGAGTTTAGCTTACCACATGCTACCCCTGTATTTAAGGGTATACGGACCACTCTCTAATGCTCTCCCAAAATGGCTATGAACCTTATGCCTCTCCCTGCCACTCTGATCCAGAAGAGTCAGCTCAAAAAGCGCCCTGACATCTGATCCTTCGCTAGCTAACGCAATAAACAAAGAAACATATGTCGCATTGTCCTCCAGGCTTTTCCCATCAGGGTAAAAATAGATAGCCCATGAATAACCACCAACCATAAACGTATCAGACGCTACATACTTCCCAATTCCAATTCCTTTCGATAGCGAGTAACCCGAAATCCTAAAATCATGTTCTCCGTTCACCGTCTCGGTGACCGATGTAGAGGTCGTTGTCACCGCCGGCGGCGATGATGACGAAGATGTCCTCGATATTTGTATAGACGCTCTTCCCATCCCCGATTACTCAACAAACTAAAGACGCAAACACTCCAGTTCACACCAAAAAAAATCCAATGGGGTGCTGCTAAAACCAGTCGAATCTTACGAATTC